ACATTTTCTTAAAAATTTTTGGTTATTTTGTTCATTTACTAACAATCAAAAACTTAATCAATCTTAATAAACAAGTATATAGAGCATTTAATTTGTGGCAAAAGGCACTGAGTTTTTAGATGTGGACTAAATGTTTTATGTAAGTTGTAGATTCTGAAGATAAGGATGACAACAAAGTGCTCTCTGTTATTCATAGTAACCTGGAGAGCAGAAAACGGACAACACCCTTAGAAGGGTTTTTGGGTGATCTTACTGAGGATCCATGAAGGTTCTGAACTTATTGGCAAAACATCATGCCTTGGACCATTTTTCTAAAGAAGAAAATCACTGTTCCTAACTTTTACAGACTTTCACAGATACCTGGGACTCCCTAAAGTGAAGAATCACTCATCTAACCTTACCCCTCACCCAACCTGGGAACACTATGTAATATATATATATATATATATATATATATATATATATATATATATATATATATATCAAAGAGCTTACATTTGACACCTATTCTCATGTGATAAGTCTTTTCTCTGCTGTATTAAAAATCAGCCTCTGGGTAGCTACTGCTGGTGGTTCTATCCTCTCTGGAGTAACACAATACAAACTGGCCCTTGGCTCTCTCCAAACATCAGACCTGCCAGCTCCCTGTACCTAGATTCTTCCCTCCCACCATGAGCTGTGTGCCAGGTGCTTGCTAATTCTCATCAGTTACCATGTTTCAAGGTTTGCTGTGTTAGACACTGATGATGCAAAGGTGAATGAGCAAAGGCCACATTGTAGAGCTCTGGTTAGAGAAGCCAAGTACTGGTGCTGGGCTCTGTTTGGCATTGTATATAGATCACCTCTGCTTGTCACAACTCTGCAAAGCAGGCAGATTCTCATTTTGTATAATTAGAAACAGAGGCTTATAGAGCTCATGATTTCTCGCTTCTTAAGGCACAGAGCTATTAAGTGACATAACTGGAATTTGAAACAAGTTGTGTCCAGCCCCGATGCATGCATTCTTCTGTGACATCATGCTTGTAGAAGGTTTAAGCTAGGGCAGGCCTTCAGTCAGCAAGTGTGCTGGAGGAGCATCCTTGTCAGAGGGGAGACTGCTTGACAGCATGAGGGAAGGTGTAGGGAGGATTACTAAGCCAGTGTACCAGGAACAGGAGGTTGGGCTGAAGGTTTTGAAGGAAAGAGCAATGTTGTAACAGAAAAAAGACTGAAAAGAAAGTTTAGGCCAAGTTGGGGTGGCTGCTTGGACTTCAGGAGTTTTGCTCAGGGATGTGAAATCATGGGGCTTGCCAGTTAGGAGGCCAGCAGGGGCAGTTCAGGTAACAGTGGAGTACAGAGAAGGTACTCAGGGAACAGGAAGGCGGAAGACAAGCTGGGTGAGCGGCACAGAAGAGAGGAGAGGGAAAGAGGAAGAGAGATGATAATTTTTAAGGGAAGAAGTTGAGAGGAAGAATTTGAAGATAGCTTAAGATTTTGAGCCTGTATAACAAGAAGAACCAGATGCCATGAACAGAGAAGGAAAAACTAGGCAGGAGCTGGGCCATTTGGTTTGGTGTTTGAGAGGCTGGATATGGACTCACGTATAGCTTCTTTAAGGTCCTTCTGCAACTGCAGTCCTGGAGAGGCCAGGTGCCTGCTGCAGGTGTCTGCTGGCTCCAGTTCGCAAAGGCTCATTTCCTCACATGATGTGTCACTTCTTGTGAGCTCATTGCCAGTAGGGCTTTTTTTCCTATGTGGCTTCCAAATGGCCTGGGTTGTAGTATTGCCTCTCAGGAACTTTCTTTTTCTTTCTTTCTTTCTTTCTTTCTTTCTTTCTTTCTTTCTTTCTTTCTTTCTCTCTCTCTCTCTCTCTCTCTCTCTCTCTCTTTCTTCCTTCTTTCCAGAAATTTCAATTGTTTTAGACTATTATAATGCTTCCCTGCTTGGGCTCCTGGACCTCACAGGTAGTTTAAATCTGGACTTTGGAGTTGGAGATAGAACACTTACCCAGATTATACAAGGTCTGGGTCAGATCCCTAGCACCACCCAAAAAGGAAAAAAAAAAAATCTGGACTCTGAAGTCAGGTGGTGGTACATGCCTGTAATCCTAGCACTTGGGAGCCTGAGTCAGGAGGACTGTCTCAAATTCAGGGTAAGTCTCATATACATAGAAAGTTCAGGGTCAGCCTGAACTGCATAGCAAGATCCTGTCCAAAAAAAAAAAAAAAAAAAATTGGACTCTGATCCCATTCCATGCAATGCTCCAGAGAGTTCATTTCTATTGCTTTTTTTTTCACCCCCTTTACACCCATGACAATATTTATTTATTTATTTATTTATTTATTTATTTATTGCAGTACCAGGATTGAACTCAGGACCTTGCACTTGCGAGGCAAGCACTTATTCTCTGAGCTATCTCTCCTTGGCTGGGACAATTCCTCATACTTTCCTGAGCATGCGGATAGTATTTTCTAATCTCCTTTTAAGGAGGCGGCACATCTTTGAACAAAAGAAATTTCTCTGGTAGAAAAATGAACCCACAATAAAAAAAAAACAAAAAACCAAGAGCTATGTTGATCTGAGTTTCACAGAAAAGAAAAAGTATCAAAGACTGTTGAAACTAAAAAATTTTAAATCTCTCTTTTTTTTTTTTCCATTTTATGTGTTTGGTACAAAGTCTCACTACACAGTGCAGACTCTTAGTGATCCTCCTGTTTTCAGCCTCCCCAGTGCTGGAATCACAGGCATGCGCCACCATGCCCAGACTCGGTTGCTGACTCCGTGCACCCTGGGCGCAGGGCCAGTGTGGCATGCATGACCAGGGATCAAACTCTGGTCACTGCACTTGCCTAAGCAGGCGCTTTAGTTTGCTGAGTTATCTGGATAGCCCAGAATTTTTATTTTTTAAATTTACATATTTTTTGTGACCAGCTCAGCCTGCCCTGGGGATGGGACTGGCACGGCATGTGGTGCCAGTGATCGAACCACGGGCCCTGTCCCTGCACTTGCTGAAGCAGGCAATTTATACTGTTGGGCTATCTCGCTGGCCACTGAGGTTGGTTTTAATAACCCTCAAGAATATCCTTTCAAAGGGCCGGTCATTTAGCTCAGTGGATTAAAGTGCCTGCTTAGGCAGATGCTGAGACTGGGGTTCAACCCTGGGTGTTTTGTGCAGGCCCTGTCCCCTAGGTGTGCTGAAACAATGATTGAGACTGGGCATGGTGGTGTGCTCCTGTAATTCCAGCACTTGGGATGCTGAAAACAGGAGACTCACTACATCTGATCTGTGTAGTGAGACCCTGTACTAAATACATTTTTAAAAAAAAGAAACAACTCCTTTCATCAGTTTCCTAAGTATTTCCAAGAAAGAGTAACAAGAGCAGAATATCACAATAACAATGCCCAGTTAGGCATAACTCCCTGCTGGTCCACCCTCAAGGGACCGAATATCAAATCATTTGTGTAGGATGGTCCAGTTGATAGAAACTATATCACTCACTGGATGGAAGGTAGATCTGAGAGCCTCAGAGTTCAAGCGCAGCTCTGCCAGCCTTGTACTCAATTGGTTTCTGAAACATTAGCCTGAAGTGAGCATGGAAATCCCACCGGGTATAGGCCCTGCGAACCCTCCAGGGATTTCTGATGTTCCCTGTGCTTGTGCTCTGGAATGTCAAGTTTCCATGTCAAGTGAGCAGCTCTTGGGGTGACCATAGTGATGGTGGAAGTCCTGTAAGACAACATAAATTCAGGAAAGTCTCCTAATACCCTTGCTCTTCCATAAGTTTAAATTGTTTTCTTGTCTTAAACCTCCTGTGCAAAACTTACCCACACTACTTAAAGATGCTCAGATTCCACCTCTCTAAGAAGTTGGCCCTAGGCTCCAGGAAGCTCCAGCCCACATCTATTGCTTCCTCTGAATTCCTGTGATACTGATTGTTCAGGCTCCATTTCTTAGTGCCTTGCACACTTTGGCCTTGGCTTAGATGGTATGAATTCCTAGTGATAAGGGGCCTCATATTCTTTTGAAATTCTTCAAAGCCAGAGATAATAGGAGATACTGAAAGTTGTTCATTAAATTCTTGAATGGATAGTAAGTAATTATAGAATCCAGGGAACTGGGTTTCACAGCGGGGAGTATGAAGTGTCCTCTGAAGTATCTAGAATAAAATCCAACAATGAGACCACCAAGAGACTCTTTGGCTTGAGATTCACCATGGCAGCACCAATCTCTACCTTTGCCCTCCTTTTGTAACAAAAAGTCATGCATATTCCTTCTAGAACATGTTATACTCAGACTTACCTACTAATCTGTATAGGAGAAAGGTAAGGGAGCACCTATGATCAGACCAGAAGTCTAACAGGAATTATGAGATGAAATCTCTCAATATGTGCCTCTATTATTGACAGGCAAGTTAGGCTGAAGATAGCAGAACAGCTAGAGAAGGACCTGGCCAAGCTAGAGTGGATGACTAGGCCTTGGCTGGATAAGCAGGAGGCTGACATCAGGACTTAGCAAAAACCAGATTCAGTCCAGGGGATGTGACAATCAAAATAGCAATCAAGGTGACAGATACTCACTAGAACAACTTTTGCTCCTACCTATCTGAAAAACACTGTTCCATTATTTCTTTGTTCTCTTAATAAACTTCTTAGAGAGGATGGAGGCCAAGAGAAAGCTAAAGACATACACTTGTTATGTGCTTCAATTCTCATA